GTGGAGTAGCAGAGTACAAAGATGAGCAGGCTCACGGCGTGTCGTACACGTTCACACACACATTCACACACACACACAAGTGCAAAAACACACATGAAAACACACACATGAAAACACACACACACATTCACACACACATTCACACACATTCACACACATTCACACATACATTCACACACACACATTCATACGCACACGCACACACACTGACCCGCAAAGGAAGTTGTCAAAGGGAACGATGGCGTCTTCTTCGATGCAGCGATAGACAAAGGAGCTGAGCAGGATCGGGACGTGCTTGCGCTTCGCAGCCTTCATCTTGAACGTCTCTGGCTCGAGGTTCCACACAAGAAGCGCGTTCACTTCCTCCGAGACGGTGACGGATGTGGTGGCGCCATGCTGCCGTAGCAGTTTGCTCACCTTCTGCCGCTGGGCAGGAGCCATGCCGTCCACACAGAAGATGAAGCCCGTGAACAGCCGCGGCTCCTCCTCCTCTTGCTCCTGTGCCAGATCCTGCGCCCCCGCATGATGGTCCTTGTTGTGCTGTCGCAGGGCTGAGAGCTGCGACAGCGACGATACTGTTCCTGATGCTGATGACGCCGAAGAACACAGCAGCTTGTTGACGGTGCTCACGCCAGCTCCTGTCTTCGATGACCTGGCCAACAGGCTGCTTGTGCCCGTGTGCGATCTTGCGGCGCCGCCAGCATGGGTCAGGCTGGACAGGTTGGATGTGTTCGAGAGCGACGAAGACAGGAGGCTGCCACCATGACCGCCGCTCAACAACGAGGACGATCTCGAAAGGCCAGCCGCGTGCGACAACGAGGAAGCTGGAAGCCCATCACCGTTGTAGCGACTGCCAGTCTTTGTGGTGCTGGCCATCCCTGCTGTCGGCAGCTCGCGAGCTCAACAATTCTCAAGACAAATTAAGGAAACGATCGACGTGGGTGCAGCGCTGGGGTGTGGTAAATGCGGAGTGTGCTGTCTTCTGTTTGTGCGCTTGTTGCCACTGTCTGCCTGTGCGCGGGAAAACTGCTGACTCAGCAGAAATCAGACAAACACAAACAAACCCAAGAAGAAGCCAGCGGAGATGGCACCAAGCAACAAAATGGTGGTGGCAGCGGCAGTGGTTGCGCTGTTGCTGGTGGTGATGGCAGTGGTGCACGTGCCGCAGGGTGTGATGGTGGCAGCAGCTGCTGCAGCACCACCCCACTATCGTGCCGCAGTGTTTCAGCACTATCGAACCAAGGAGGCGAAGAGGCCCCAGTGGTCCAAAATGCAGAATGTGGCCAGCTACAAGAACGCAACCGCGCGCGCCGCCGCACAGGGTGCACGGATCATCGTGTTTCCGGAAGTCGGCCTCGGTGGCAACGCCATCAGTCGCGCCCTCAACATGGAGTTCGCGGAAGATGTGCCTGATGGCCGCGACAGCATCAACCCCTGCTGGGACAACGACCCCAACTACTGCACAGCCAGGTGCGGCGAGGAGAGGGCGAGGTGCACAATGCAGGATGCGTGTTAAGTGCCTACGTGGGGATGGTAGTTGTGTCATAGGGATCACGTTCTGTCCGCTGTACCTTATGGTCGACGAGTCGAATCGTCGGCTGTTGTTGTTGCTACTCCCTTGATTGTGCCTCACCTCCCTTGTTGTGTGTGCTTGTGTTAATTGCGATGACTTGAAAGGCCTGCTTTGTGCGCGTTGTCGTGCATGGCGGCTGAGCACGGCATGTATGTTGTGGTTGGAATGAACGATCGCAAGGCGTGCAACGCAACAAGCGACCCGCATTGCCCCAAGGACGGGGCCTACCTCTTCAACACAGGCGTCGTGTTTGATTCCTATGGAACGGTCATCGCCCGCTACCACAAGAAGCACATCTTCACGCCATTCCCTGTCTTCGACACACCGAACGTGGCGGAGGTGCGCTACTTCGACACAGACTTTGGCGTTCGCTTCGGCATCTTCATCTGCTTCGACTCCCTCTTCCCTGACCCGCCCCTTGAGCTCGTCAAACAAGGCATCAAGCACTTTGTGTTTCCAACCTCCTGGACAAACGTTCCGCCCATCCTCACCGCAACGCAGTACCAGCAGGTAGGGTCCCCCTGTCCACATGTGTGTGTTTGTGTGTTTGTTTGTGCGTATGTATCTGTGCGTGTGCATGTGTGTTTGTATGTGTGTATGTGTCTGTGCGTGTGTATGTGTGTGCGAATGTGTGCGCGTTGTTGGGAACCGTTTTGTGGGTGCAGCTATTTGCAGCTTAAACAGGATGCCCTCATTGCAGGGCACTTATGTCCATTTGCTACGCTGTCTTGATCAACAACAGCCCGTCTCCTTGCATTCTTGCTGCACTAACAGCCACCAACTCCGACCACCAACCACCAACCACTTACACCGCATCACACCTTCACCCATCACCGCTGCAGGCGTGGTCCCGCGCGTTCAACACGACGTTCCTGGCCGCCAACACCGCCGAGCACGGCACAAGCGGCAGCGGCATTTACGCGTGCGGACACCCCATCGCCACCTACTTCAACTACACCGCGGACGGCCTGCAGGATGAGCAGCTGCTGGTTGCCGACGTGCCGACCGACCCCTGCGCTCCTGTGTCGTCGTCGCTGGCAGCACGGTCAGTGACAACAGCTCGCCTTCACAAGAACAGCAAGCAGAGCAGCAGCAGCAACAACAACAACAACAATAACAACGACAGTGACAACAACGACGGTGACAACAGCGGCAGTGCGAGTGACAGCAAGCACTGTGGCACGATCGGCGTGGATCCATGTGCATGTGATATTGTTGACGCCGTTCCAGGGAAGAGGTGAGACAAACCGAATTGAACGACAGCGTGTGCTGATTGCACTGTTTGTTAAAATGCAACCCCCAATCGTTCTGCTTGTTGTCGATACCATCTATCATCCCTTTAACCACACACACACACACACACACACACACAAATGTACATATGTACACATGTACTCATGTGCACATGTCCACACGCGTTCCCTCTGCTGCCCTCTCCTCCCACGCACGCACACACGCGCGCTCATACAATCATGCACACGCACACGCGCATACCGCATTCGTTGGCATACTCATGACCCACTCGTTACGTACCCGCGTGTCTGCCACGATGCACATCAGCGGCACGCTGACGGCCGAGTTCAACGGGCTCAAATGCACTGCGCAGTATTCGTTCGCGGCCAACCAGACAGCAACAAAGTCAGTCGTCTCATAATGAGATGCACACTGAACAATGCGCCCAACCCTGCCACTGTTGCTTTGAGTGTTGCTTTGGACGCGTTTGCTCATTCGTTTATGACGCGCACTGGTGTAACTCGTGTCAGTCGCTCACGCGGGTGTCTTGCACGTGAGTCGGCACAAAGGCACATCGCTTATCTATGAACCCAATTCTATGCGTACCCACACACGCGCGCATACACGCGTGCATTGTACTTGTGACAGTGAGCGGTATGGACTTGTTGTGTACTCGGGCACGGCGTGGTTCCTTGAACCACTGCCTGCGCAGATATGCACCCTTGTTCGCTGCGCAACCCCACAGGCGTGCATCACCCCAGATGTGTCGGGTGATTTCCTCTTTCCCGCGCACACGCTCGTCAATTCGTTCTCCATCCAAGGTCAGGGTGTGCATGCTTGTGTCTGTGCGTGTGTGTGCTTGTGCGCTTGTGTGTGTGTGTGTGTGTGTGTGTGTGTGTGTGTGTGTGTGCTTGTGCGTGCGAGTGGTTACATCTGCAGTAGAGTATGCGCGCGTCTGCGTCTACCCTTGCAGTGTGTGTCTGCGTGCAGTACTTTGCGTTTGCTTCTGGCATGCACTTGACGCCTTGCTGTCCCACTCGTCAATATTCACACCTTGGCTGTGTCTCCATCCGTTGCCACCACATGCATGCGCACGCATACGACCACCCGGGCTTCCCTGCAGGCAACTTCACGTATGCGAGAGAGCAGCAGTTTCCGCTCCTGGTTGAAGACGGCGGTCAGCTCCTGCCCAAGACCGCGCTTCATGCTGTCGTGAACGGCATCGCCAGCAGCGGCAGCGTGTGGCCGCGCAAACTGCTTGCTGCATCCATCATTGGTCGGCCATGGAACAGCACCACAACCACAACAGCAGCAGCCACAGGAGGAGGAAAAAGGCGAATACAAGGAGGCTGAGGTGTAGGGTGGTGCAATAAGTCCTCTTTTTTTTTCTTTTTTTTTTTCACCATGCCATCCGATTTGTGCGTGCGTTCGTTTCAAGCAAGAATGTTCTCAATCCCCTCGGTGTGCGTGTCCTCTGTTGGTTTGTGTGTGTGTGTGTGTGTGTGTGTGTGTGTGTGTGTGTGTGTGTGTGTGTGTTTGTGTGTGTGTGTGTTTGTGTGTGTGTGTGTGTGTGATGGGGCATGTATGTGCTTTATGTGCACATACACATGCCCACTGCGTGCGCACACGTGCGTTGAGACACGATGTTACACATGCTGATACACAGACTAAATGGTGACGTTGTGACAAAATGTTGTGTTATGTTGGTGATTTTTATTGTTTCGGGCACAGACACAACAATCAGCACAATCACACATCTTTTCTGGCGCTGTCCAGCGCATGCGCACAGCACTCCACTTTGCACCGCCACCATCAAGAGCAGTGTTGGTGATAATGTTGGCCGCAGACGCAGGACAACATGTTGTTGACCTTGCATGACACACAAAGGAAGTTGGTTGGGAAAGGGGAGGGAGTGTGGAGAAAGCATAGATAAAGCGCACAAACAAAACAACTCGCTCGTATCCTAGACAGAACCAAGCAAACGCACGAACACACACACACACGCAAAACACAAAGCCATCGCTCTCTGAAGAGGGCAGGAGGGGGGTTGGTGCGTGGCTCCTTTTGCCACGACAGCCCACGTCCTCACGTCACATCTTCTCAAGTCTTTTCAATCGCGGCGACGCTAAACGGTGCGGTGCAGCAAAGGAAAGCAATTGCACACAGCGGCAGCACACGTGAGCTAAGCTCTCCACCTCACAAAACACACAGCTCCCATGTATCAATGCATGCATGCATGCATGCAAACGCACGCAAACGCACGCAAACGCACGCAAACGCACACCCCCAGCATCCCACCACACAGGACGGAATGCAAGTTGACCAAGTTGACCAATTCAACGCACCGTGGCGGTCGTGACAGCTGCCATCGTCGTCACTCGTTGCCATCCCATTCACCCCCTTCATCTTCATCATCATCATCATCATCATCATCATCATCATCATCATCATCATCATCATCATCATCATCATCATCATCACCATCATCATCATCATCATCATCACCATCATCATCATCATCATCATCATCAGCAGCAGCAGCAGCATCATCGTCATCATCATCATCATCATCATCATCATCTTCATCGTCATCATCATCGCCGTCGCCGTCCTTGTCGTCACCATCGCGGCTGTTGCGGCGCTGCTTCGTGTTTGCCTCAGCGGTCAGCTTGGCTGCCAGCGCGCTGAACGACAGCGGGCGGTGTGTCTGGCGGCTCTGCTTCGGGCTCGCGAATCCTGGTTCACGCGCAGCACCAACAACAACAGCGCCATGCTTCGTATCGGCAAACGCAACGCCAGCCATGGCCCCAACGTCCAAGATGCCCAGGCCGCTGTCCTGCGGCATCAGTGGCGCCTGCTGCTGCTGCTGCTGCTGCTGCTGCTGCTGCTGCTGCTGCTGCCTGTGTGACAGCTGTTGCATCAGAGCTTGGTTCAGCTGTGACAGCATCTGACGCTGTGGCTGCTTCTGCTGCTGTTGCTGCTTGTCCTGATCCAGGCTGTTGTTGCGCGTGCGTGCTGACGGCTGCTCCTGCGTGGCCGCTGCAGTCACGCGTGTTGAGGTTGACGGGCGCAGCACTGAATGAAGAGACAGCGCACCACCGGAGCAAGCACAGCAGTCAGAATAAGAACAGGCACAAAAGAAAACAGAGCGCACGCATGCAAGCACATGCTCACTCACACACACGCACAATCACATACACGCGCATACACACGATAACACACACACAGTGCACGCTTGCTTGCCTTCATGCACACACCTTGAGCAGGCACACCGTCGTCGTGGGCAGTCTCAGGAGCACCAACAACCACTGCATCATCATCATCATCATCATGGTTGTTGTTGTTGTTGTTGTTGTTGTTGTCGTTATTGTTGTTGCTGTGATCATCACGGCAAACGGCGTCGTCGTCGTCCTTGTCCTCGCCAGTGCTGCCACGCCGCTGCGTGCCGCCCACAGCAGACGTGAGCTTATCTGCCAACAGCGCTGACAGCAGTTGAGCCGACGGCCGTGCGTCCACCGCCGCTGTGGCGCCTAGCCCTGGGCTCACCTTCTTTCCGAACGCATCACCCTCATCACCGTCGCCCTCGTCATCGTCATCGTCGTAGTCGTAGTCATCGGAGTCAGAGTCAGTGAACCAGAAGTCGTCACCAATCATCGCACCGCCATCCAACACGACCTGCTCGCTGTCATGGGGCATCACCAGCTGCTCCTCCTCCTGCTGCTGCTGCTGCTGACGCGGGCGCTGAGGTGGCACGTTGCGCGCAGTCGACGCTGACGATGCTGATGATGCTGCTGTTGTCTTCACCGGAGGTTGAACCGCTGAATGGAGCAACGCACAACGCAAGGGTACGCAATGTGAGTGAAGGAACAATAACATACGCGCACACAAGACCACACAAGACCACACACACGCACACACACACACGCACACACACAGCCCATGCATGCACGAACATACTCCAATTGCAATGCTCACCTCCCGGCTGCTGCAGAGGGCCGCTGGCGGCAAGAGCGGGTACTGCCCGTTCATGCTCATCCACCATACGAACCCGGCGTATCAGCCGCTCGGTCATCCTTGCAGCCGATGCCGCTGTTGTCCGTGCCTCCACCGAGGGTTGCACTGGATGGACCAAGCAACGCACACCACAGCACAAGAGCAGTGAGCACACGTGTCAAGTGTGAACTCAGACAGGAGAAAAACTGACACACGAAACCAGGAACACGTGCACAATTATATTGTTACGACACACACACGCACACACACACACATACATACACGCACACGCACACATACAACCACACAGGAGCAGCGCACACCTCGCGTTCGCGGTGGAGGGGTGAAGATCTCGGGGCCAAGCGGCTGGCCATGCTGGTCGAACACGTCACACACGCCCACGAACGGCTCCACGCACGAGAGGAACTCATCAATGATGTCAGCAATGGCGTCCTCCCCACCAGGCAGCACGCCCCTCCGATCTGCAAGCACAGGGTCCGCCCCGAGCGTCAGCAGCAGGGCGACAAGATCTCGGTCCTTCATCTTGCACGCCCACGTCAGCGCGTTGCAGCCTGCGTCGTCCACAGTAGCCACAAGAATGTCGGGCTGATGCGCAACAGCGTCCACGAGCCTGTGCACCGCAGACATGCGCTCCCCGCCACTCGTGCCCGCAATGCTCGTCACGGCGCTAATGTCAGGGG